CTCTCCTCGGTGCATTCTCAGTTCTCAGATGCAGAGCAGCATTAATATTTATCTGCCTTCTTTCATGAGAAAATTATCCAATGGGCTTAGCACATGTGTATTTGGAAAGAATCACAAGACACTGAAAGCACCGTGAATTGAAACCTGTGTGCATTTGAATGTCCAATCAGTTAAAGAAAACTCCAAGTCAATGAAACTGAGTATGTCTGATTTGAACACCATATGTCGACATACATTACTCATCATCTGGAGAAAACCGTACGGCAGAGTTAACACTCACTGCCTGTGCTGTCCTCTCTTCCTTCATGAGCAGCAGGGATTAAGCGGAGGATACGTGCACATGTTTCACCAATAACTTCATTTCCCAGGTGCAAGTTTTCACACATAACTTCCTTGCTGCTAATCCTTGTTTCACACCAGTAGCCACCCATGGCTCCTGGGATGAAAATTCCTGCTCAGTTGACTCAACTTCATAGGGCTCTGGAATCAGAGCTGGTTTCAAAGGCACCTGCCAGGTCCAGAATTTTGGGAAAATTATTTATGCTCTACGAGCCTCAGTTTCCTCGCCATTAAATTGGGCATAATAATGGTCTCCCCTCAGAGAATTATCCTGAGGACAAATAAGCTGCTTATGGAGGACCTGGGACACTGAACACCTAAGAAATAACTTGGATCTCTCAACAGCACCAAGGAGCTCCAAAGAGAGGCCACGTCTGTCCTGAAGGGTGCAATTTCTAGTACTTCACCTCCCTCTGGCCTTGTTGTGGGACCTTCAGTACCTTCACACGGCTTTTCAAAACTTCTTTTCTTGCAAAAATCTGAAGCTCAGTCACAGTGCAGTGTAACTGATGGAAGATAGTTTGAAATATATTCCTGGCAGAGGAAAGTGTAGATTTCAACAGGAATCGAAGCCCTTGGCTAACAGAAGGGCACCTCTAGGACACGGTCATGCCCATCAGAGAGCTAGTGGAAGTGAGTGGGATGCCGCCCCAAGCCTCTGACAATACTCTGCCATTTGCCTTTCTCAATGCCCACCATGGGGCTGCCCCAGGGTCTAGGGATGAAGGGGGGTGGTGAGCTCTAGGCTGTATGTCTCATGGAAGGGCTTCCAAGGCCACCAGCAGGCTCTTCTGATGTTCCAGCGCCTTGAGAGGAAAAGGCAGAAAGGACAGGCATGTGTGTTGTCTCTGCAGCTCACTTGGGAAGGCAGGGGAGTTGGGTGGGGAGTCTTGGCAGGCTGACCATGGGGCTGATAGGCTCTCATCAAACCACACGTGGAGCCACCTCAGGGTGCTCCAATTTAAAGGAGGGTGCTGGTGATGTGCAGTCATCCGCGAGACAACAAGAATGAGCAGGCCACGCTTAAAACTCTGGAGGGAAACTTCAACCTGGAGAAGACAAGACCCGGAGGGCCTGCCATCTCTAAACCCTTGGCACCTTGTCCAGGAGGGGTGGCCCTTCTCCATGGATCCAAAACAAGAACGAGGACTGAGGGATGGAATTTCAGGGATGCTTATTTGGGCTGAAAGTAAACAATGAGCTTTTATGGATGGGTAGCCTCATGGGACCGTGAGCTCTCTGTCATTCGAATGAGCAGGAAGGATAATGAGGATCCCCGTCGATGGGCTTTGGACCACATGATTTTGGTTTTTTGCCTTTTAAAAAACTTTTTATTTGTAAGCCATTAATTTTTCTCATTTGTAAATACATTTATGAAAGTTAAAAAGAATCAGTACAAAGAACACCTGTGTACATTTTATCCGTATTCATCAACTGTACACATTTTACTCATTTACTGTATTACCTGCATGTTCACTTGCGCGGTCTCTCAGACCAGATAGGTTTTGGGTTCCTTCTGTTGAGAGTTAGAATTCTACACACCGAGGCTTCTTTCCAAGTCACAGGATTTTAGAAAAATTGAAATCCTGCTGGTGGTGCTTTCCGTAGCACTTAGCATAAAGCCGAAGTCCGCATACGTGATCGATCGATAGAGCCCTACAGAGTCTGACTCTGACCATCTCCCAGACCTCATCTTCATTTCGATCACCCTGCTGCAGCTACTCTGGTTTTCTTTTTCTTCCTCATACATGCGAGGCTCATTCCTGGCATAGGGACTTCGCTATATAGCTCCTCTGCCTTCAACAATCTGCACTGGTTATCTCTGGCCGGGTCTTTTATTAACACTCCCAGACCCTCCCCTCTCCCCTGCCCCACCAAGTGCCCTCCTCCAACTCCTACAAGTTACTCTATCACATTGCTTCATCCCCTCTTACCACTGTGTGAAATGATCTGGTATTAATTCATTTGCTTGCCTTCTTGCCACTCCCCGGAATGTAAACATTGTGAGAACGGGGGCCTTGTCTACATCTTACTTGTTCCCATGTCCTGAGTGTCAATGACAAAAAGTATTCAATTATTTGCTGAATGAATAAATAAAAAGGACAAATGGGTCCGAGAACACCTGGTCAAGGACTTGTTTGTGCAAAAATGGTTTTCAAAAGAGCCTTGATCAGGTGGAGTGTATTCTAAGCGAGGAGAGGTTTGGGGAAGAGTCTCCCCAGAGGCTGCCCCATCCAGAAGAAGGGGTGGACTCTTTTCAGAGGCCAGTGTGCCTTCGACTGCCGTCTGTTTGAAAAGATTACCATAAAGGTAGACGTGTGCAAGGCCTCCTGGAGCCAAATCTTCGTGGGTGGTTGATATGAGCAAGAGTGGAAGGGTATAAGGAGGTGGTACTTCCATATCTGGATACCCTTGGAACTGAGAATGCCTCAATGCTTTAAAAAACTAGCTGTGAAAACTCTTTACTATGTTGAGATTCCTTTCAAAGGAGCTCACAGATAATCTACGGTGATGCTACGGATAGATGGATTTTTCTATATGTTCTTTCTCTAGGATCACTCTTGCTCTGGTAGAAAGTAGTTTCGCAGCCTCCCAGTGAGGCCTACATGGGATGCTAGTAAAAGGCCTGAGTCTTGTCCACATGTGTCCATTTCCTGTCAGGTCTAATTACTGCTGAGGACCTTGAGCACCGGGTCTTTGCCCTGGGTGAAGTCTAAAAGCTTCGACACTTGAAACTGGCCTCCTTCTCAACCAGAGCGGAAATCTCCAACATCACCTATTGTGCAAGAGGTGGGAAGACACGTGACCTGGAGAAAGTGGAGTGAATCAGCCCCAGGAAAAATGATCTTTAACGGCTTTGGTTAATGCACTTACCTCAGTAAGCAAGAATAGCTATTAAACAGAGAAGAGCAGTTCACCACAGTCTATGAGGCAAAAATGCTGATTTTGAAAGTTTTGAAAGGATAATATCCTAAAATTAAATTAATGCCACTAAGTCAAGCTATTTGAGAGGAAGCCTACGCGATGGAAAAAGAACCCACGCGAGAGGTACACTTGCTGCTGTTTGAATCCTAGCTCTGCAACTTAACTGCTATGTGGCTGCAGGCAAGATATTTAACTTCTCTGCTGTGCCTCAGTTTACCCACCTATAGCATTGGCATTCTACGTACTCCACCCATGGGGACTTTAGGATTAACAGAGCTAATGTGAGTAAAGGGCTTACAACAGTAGCTAGCACAGAAACAGTAACTTCAGATACCTCACCTAACTCTAATCCTAACACCTGGTAACATTGGCAGAACAAACTTCTTATTTTGTTGACAATCAGTTTCAGGCTGTACGTCATATGGGTGATAAGTCACTGAACCCTAACTTGGACTCAAGTCACTGCCCACAGTCAGCAATCTAACCTTGGAGCCTGGCGATGGCTTGTAAGGAGGCACATCTTTAAAAGCCTCATGGCTAGAGCCTTTGTTGAACCCGCCAGAAACTTGACATTGTTTGAAATTAAAAAGAAAAAGAAAAACCCAAAACTCTGAAGGTAAATGAAGACTTTTATGCGAATGTAGAACTATTGTCTGCATTTCTGACCCAAACATTGAAGTATTACTTTCACTCACACAAAAAACAGAGATAAACAAACCTAGAAAGACTAATTATTTGCCCCATCTCCTCTAAGCAAAGTCTCCAAAGTAAACAAGCCGTCCAGAAGAAAAGTAGATTAGCTTTCGGCAAGTCTTCAGTTAGAAAGGCCTAGAATTCCAGTAGCTATACAGGTAAGGGTCCTCTATGAAACCCGATACACATCATCTGAGGATTATCTGGAACCTTCCATTCCCCATGGTTTTCAGGATCCCAGCTACTATCAGAGGAGGTGAGCGTGGCACGATCAATGGTGGTACCTTAGGGCAATTACTTCCAAAAATAATAAACATCCTTTCTTAGTTTAATGCCATTGTATCATTTCCATCAACATCCTTTTTTTTTTTTTTTTCATTTTCGCCCATCATGGAGAGAAAAGGAGAGAAACTTAATTTGATTTACAAAGGGAAAAACAACCCTGAATGTATTTTTTTTTTTTTTTTTTTGGTCAGGGGTGGGGGTGTGTGCAAGGAGAAAAGGTCAACCAGCTGGTTTTCATCTGTATGCCATAATTCTCTGTTTAGTTTACACTATTAAACTCCAAAGCTTTGCTTTAATCTTAACTGTTACAGTATGCCTTCTTGCAGATCCTATCATGTCGCATCCCTGATAGGGTTTCAGATTCTGGCAAAGCACCATCCCCCAAGCTGGTCCTTGCCATATGGGTAGTGAACGCATCCAACATTTTTTCATTGGCGCCTCTATCATTATGTTTTGTCACCAATGGTTTCTCGGGTTTTCAGTAAATTGCCGCGTATACTGTGGTTTGGAGCTGTCGAGATGACGGCCTGCGTTGATTTGTAGACAGCCGAGTCCTCATTAGGGCCTCCCTGTCCTGTTAGCCTGTGGAGGGTGACCTAACATCTGTTCGTTGAGGGGGTGTGCGTAGGGGGGTGAAGGGAGAAGCTGTAAAGGAAAGACAGAAGGCAGGGGCAAGTTGTGGGAGGGAGAGGCAGCTTCCTGGAGCCCTCCACTCTCTCAGAGTCAGGAGAAGGAGAGGGATGAGGAGAGGGACCTACCTGATCTGTCTTCGCTTTGCGCATCACATCTTCGGCACAGTTCGGGGATGGTCTTGAGCGACGTCACCGAGTACTGGAGGGGAAGCCGGAGGAGAAAGGGAATAAAACAACAATTTAAAACAAGAGCATTGCATTCATTCAAGTGGCCAGAAAAAGCAAAGCACAAGAAGTGACACTTGAGTACGACATGTAGATCCAGAAAAGTCGAATTTTATCCTCAACGGGCTCCTCAGTGATCTGGCAGTGACCCAAGCTCTATCTGTATACATCTAAGCAGATGTACATCAAGAAGGGCTATGTACCCCTGCTTTAACATGCAAAGTGTATCCGGCAGACATTCTCTCTCCTGTTGCTTCTGCGACTTGTGGAAGATGGAAGAATTTTCTGGCCTTGAGGAATTTCCGGAAGGTGTCTGGAATACATGCGTTTTGAGTCCGATTGTGAAGGGCCAAGGGGAGAAGCACCCAGCTTCCTGCAGCGCCCAGGGTAGCCAGGAGCCTCACCTGTGCTGATATTCTCTGGGCTACACCAACGTCCCTCATGTCGCCACTTGCCAGAGGTTTTACTGTGTGGCATCCGTGAGCTCCGTGGGAAACACAGGGGGTGATGTTATAAAGAGCAAGAGGAGGTTGGTTCTCTGTCTGGAAGCTAATCTGTTTTATGTATAGATTAGACCGAACTGAAAGAAACCAGCCCCCGGGATCAACCGGGCACCGACTCAGGGGCCAGCTATCAGGATAACAAATTACGACATAAGGGGGCATAAAACCAGAAGGGCTAAAACAAATGGAAAATCAATAGCTCTGATTTACGGGGGCTCTGTCTGATGCCAATCAATCTTTCTTTAGAGAAGGATGTTTTAAAACAAAATAGATAGGATGAACTATTTCTTTAATCAAAGGACCATCTTCAATCATACATTAACTCATAAAACCCAGCTACCTACAAATATTTGGCTCTGTACCTTTGGGAATACTGTTCTTATGGGAATGAGAATGTGTGATAAAGGACTTCACTCAGAATTTGGGGGGGGGGGAATGAGAAAAAAAAAACTTTAATTAATCTGAAAGAAAAATGATCACGGGAAACTCATTAGGATTATTCTAGCGTTACAAGTGAGGAATGTGTAATTAGGGTACATTTGTCAATAAGAAGGTACTCTAGTGAGCTTGATGTTGATAGATGAAGCCAAGGGTCTACATGGAGACCCCCCAGTGCTTTCCACACGATGGCAGGACAGCAAGACAGAGGGAGGGGGCAGTTGTATGTATTGTCAATTTGCCAACCGCATGTCACAAACAAATTAAATCTGCAGGTCTTGCAAGTGAAAAATGAAATCTCAAATGACCAATTAGAGAAATTACTCCTACCTGTCTGATGCAATAACATCCTGTTTATGTTGGCCAGTCCTCAGAGACTACAGGTGCTACTAGTCAATCCACTCACATACTCAGAAAGAGGGAGGGCTGTCTCTTGAACCAAAACTGAACTTCAAGCATTTTTCCCCTTTTACAGTATGTTCTTTGGGGGATGGGGGTAACATAGGTACAGAAGGCATTTTTCTTGTTCCTAATAAGGTGCCTTATGTTCCTGGCCAAGTACAAGCTCTCTAAGGAATCCGGTAGCTTCTTGAGACCAGCTGGTACAGGTTAAATAATTACACAGTTTACAATTCAATTAAAATGGGGCCTTTTGTTTCCGCGGCCATGCGCCCCACAAAAGCACCCTTTGGCAAAGTCTCACCCTTGCTCCTTCTGTCTTGTTTTGTTGTTCTCCCAAGGCAAATTTTAGAAAGAGGGAACTAAAGATGGATTAGTGTTTAAATGGAGTTAATGATAAACTCAATAAGGTTGTTCACGGGGCTTAATGATATGTATTTGATTAAACTGGCTGCGGGGCTTCCTGCATTTTCAGCCACATGCATCCTGACCGCCACCTCTCACCCCAAAGCCGGCTACATCAGAATCTCTGAATTATGGGCTCTACCCCCAGTTCTTCCTACGTGACCTCAAAGATCCTGAGTGTGCAGCAACTTGTAACATAATGACATTTAAGTTCGAGCAGCACAGGCTGCCCGGATGGTGTGGGGACTGAGCACCAGGCAGAGGATGAACCTCGCGGAGCCCCACGCACCGCCTCAACCTGTGTTAACCCGCGGCAGCTCTGTCTCTCCACCCTTGGTGTACAGAAAGTCACTTCTGTGAAGGTATACGTCTCAATTCTTTGGGAATAATGACCTTGAAGAAAAAGTCATGTGCTGTGCCTGGTGAGGAAAATTACAAATACAGCCATCTGAGAAAAGGATGATGTGTTGGCCAGACAATCAAAGTTTTGGGGAACCATAAGAGTATGTGGAATGTCAAATTCAGCGAAGACTCCAATCTACACTGTGAACAAATCTACTATCCTTTATAAAGACACAAGAAACAGAATCAGTTTAGGTATTTGTTTCAGTAAGCACAAACGCTGCTCTCTGGATAGGAGATGAAGCTTAAGAGAATGTTGTACAGTCAGGTCACGAAGGGAAGAGTGGCCGGGGAAACATACAATTCACAAAACCAACATGCGAAAACATTTTCATATTTGCACATTTGGGAATAAGCAAATGACCCAGGAAGTCTCTCTCACATGAGTGCATTGTCCTACCATCTGGGAGCTAAAAGGGAGGGCTCCCCAGCCCTTCATCCCAGTACAAAGGACAGATGGCCTTTTAGAAGGAGCTGTCTGATAGCCAAGCCACCTCATTCTCCGGACAGTGGCCAACTCCCTGGGCAACAACTACTGTCATTTTGGCCCTATCAGAACCAAAGTCCAAAGTGTCTTCCCTGTCTCTTGCTCCCAACCCCAGCCTTTATATTCTGTTCCCTTGATGCCTTTTATCCTTGGGTGATTAGAGAGAGGGGGGTTGCAGATGGTTGTTTCCTGGTTTTATGTCACTCTTGTTCTCCTTCTAAAAATCTTCCAGAGGTTAGTCCCGTAGAAATAGCCTTTGTGATTCAAACTTCCTTTCCAGGTCTCAAGAAAAGCCCCTTCTACAGGTTGACCAGTTGCCTCCACTTCTTCAGTGTGCATGCAGTGTGCATTCAAAGTTTAGTTCCACCTTCTGTACCTTGGCTGGCAAAGCTTTCCTCTGGCCAGGGAAAAGCTGCCTTTCTGCAAGGCCAGCTTGGGCTGTGCTTTCTGCATGAAACCCTGGCTAACTGCTTCAGCCCTAAATGACCTTGCTCTTTACTGCCCTTGGTAAAATACTGCCTTGCCTTGGGCTCTGTTGTTTCCTAGATGTTAGTGTTGGCTCCCACAATTGCCTGAGGGAAAGGATGGTGTCTCTGACTTGCATATATACGTGGCACACAGTGGCTTATTAACTATTTGACTGGAATACCAAGACAAACACACATTTGATGGATCCCCGGCAGAATATTACAGCTTTTCAAAGGAGTTCTTTCATACTTAGGTAGTAAGTGGGCATTTCTTCCATGCTTCCATACTTGCACTCCAATTAACTGGCTTTCTAAAATGCAGATTTGACTAAGGTGCTTCTCTGTTTCACATCCTTCAGTGGCTCTGCACGGACTACAGGGCAAAGCCTCAGCATGGCACAGGAAGCCTTCCATGAGCTCAGACTTATCTCTTACCATTGTTCACTTCTTTTTTGATTGTGGCAATATGAAATTTCTTAGGGATGCCATATCTGCTGTTCTACCTGTCTACACTGTTAGGCGTGCCATTCCATCGACCTGGAATGCTATTCCACCCAGTTCATTAGGCAAACTTTTTTTAATTTTTCAAGATGGGCCTGGGAATCGCTTCTATAGAATCTTCTCCCACACTCCCAGATGGAAGTAATTCCAGCTTTCAAAGTGTGGTGTCTGGACCGGGGGCACAGACACCATCTAGGAAGTTGTTAGGAATTCACAGTCTTGGGCCCCATCCCAGAAACTCTGAGGGTAGAGCCCAGCAATCTGTATTTTTACAAGCCAACTAGATGATTTTGATGCATGCTAACATTTCGGAACAACTGCTTTATATATAATTTAGGCATAAATCCATTACAGAATCCATCCATGATATTTCACCTATATGTTTATGTCACTGCTTTCTCTGCTTCCTGAGGGTGTGGACAATATTGTATTTACCAAAGATAGTGGGTACTTACTGAACTTGAATAAAATGAATTCCCCTATGTAATCATGATTTTAGTGGCAATAATAAAAATAGTAATAGTAATAGTTAATAGTTATATAGCACTCATCTTCCTAAAAAATCCCTCATTATTACAAGTCTAGCCATGAAATTATGGTATATTTAAAAGAAAAAAACACACCTCTAATAGATTAACAGTATGGGTACTGGCTGATGCCTTAGCCTTCTGTATAAAGAACAATGGATCTGGACCCAGAAGATGCAGATTCAAGCCCCAGTTCTGGTATTTGTTTAGTTTTTAAATGTTTGTTTATTTTTGAGACAGAGAGCAAGGGCACACAAGCAGGGGAGTGGAAGAGAGAGGAGGAAACAGAGGATACAAAGTGGGGTCTGAGCTAGAGCCCCATGGGGCGCTCGAATTCATGAACTGCGAGATCATGACGTGAGCTGAAGTCAGATGCTTAACTGACTGACCCCGCCAGGTGCCCCAAGTTCTGGTATTTATTAACTGAGGTTCTGGACAAACTAGTCATTTCATATCTCTGGGGTTTGCTTTCTTTATTTATAGAACACAGATAATCATATGTGGATAATACAAGTGAAGTCAGTTTACAAGGCGTGAAACGATGTTGAATGTTTTTGTCTCTTCTCCCTAACCTGTTTTCCACCTGTGCACACAGCCCTTCCCTCATCATCTTCATTGCCCTCCTGACTTTGAAGCTCAGTTGATCCAGATGTGGGAATTTAAGAGACAGAAGACGGGGTTGAGCTGGGACTGGAAAGGAGAGCCCAGCCTGTCCCAGCACATTATTTAACTTCTCTTTGGTCTTTCCTCCTTTATGAGAGTCCATGGCCAAGGGCCGACACTGAAACATTCCTTTGCGAACTCGAGTTGATATGACACAAGACAATCCTACACATCCCTGCCTG